CCCCCCCCGCAGATGTGGTCAGAGACGCCTTGAAGGAGCGAGTCCCCAGTCCTAAACTCGCCCTGCTCAGCGGTGATGACGCCAGGCCCCTGGCTCACCTTGTGGGCAGGTGAGCCCAGAACTAAAGGCCTGACTCAGCCGCATTTCCCATCACTCCGGAGGTGTGTTTGAGAGGAGCCCGGAGTTAATTAGAAGGCTTAGAAACACCCACGCGCCTCGGAGGAGGATTTATGAAGGGGCCATTTTCCACGTGGATCCTGAGTCCCTTAATGCCAGAGAGTGTGGCCTAATCCCACACAGCGTTTCACCGCCTCTGAGGGCTCTGATTCACACCACGGGTTGCAGGGCGGAGGGCGGGCGCCCCGCAGTGACTTCCCCCTCATTGGGTTCCCCTGAGCCTTCAGGACGCCTTGGCCTAAGGAGACGCGGAGGTAGAGGTGTATGGGGCCCGAGCTGCCGGGTCCAGGTGCCCCTTGGGCCGGTGGGCCCTGCGGCGGAGGGGATGTATGTCACACCTGTCGTTTGGGTACTGTGTTTGGAGCCAGCAGGTGTCTGTTCCTAGAACGTTCCAGGTGGAGGACAGGGGCCCCGCCGAGGTTGGCAGGGTGTGTTTTGCTCGCTTTAAAGGGCCTCTGAAGGTGCATTTCCCTTTCAAGAAGCACCTGCCGCCTGCCCGCCGCCCGGCTGTGCGATTGCATAACTGCGTTTTGCCTCTGAGGGTGCCCCCTCCCTTCTGCCCGTGAATTCCTTCCTTCAAGTGTAATCTTTTCCCCTGTCCATCAGGCTCCTAATGGTTTCAGGCATGGTTCTTCCCAGGCTGGCTGGGCCTTCCCCCCAGTGCAGGCGATGTGAGAGCCGTGGTGCCGAGGTGCCGATTCCTGAACGCAGCTGCTCAGCCGGTGGGGGGGCGGGGGAGGGGTACCGCCCCTGCCCCCGACGTTGCCAGGGTCTTGGGGGAGGGCATGCTGATAGAACGTCCCAAAGCAGCAACCCCGGCTGCCTCACTCAGCAAGCTGCCAGCCAAGCTTGACGAGCTCCTTCCCACCGCTGCGTTGCAGATCTCCGACTTCGGGCTGGCCAAGTGCAACGGGCTGTCCCACTCGCACGACCTCAGCATGGACGGCCTTTTCGGCACCATCGCCTACCTTCCTCCTGAGCGCATCCGGGAGAAGAGCCGGCTCTTCGACACCAAGCACGACGTGTACAGGTGTGTATCAGGCGTGCAGACCCAGGTCGCCAGGGGCTCTGCACCTGGATTCCTCGTGCTCTGAAGGGGGGCTTTGCCAGGGGCTCCTCGGTGCCGCCAGATAAGAGGTTCAGTCCAAAGGGAAGGGCTTTTAGGCGGAGGGTACGGGCTACCCCAGTACTGGCTTACAAGAGGGAGTTCTCTGCTGTGAGCGCTGCTGGCCCAGCATGGAGAACATTAGTGGTTGGTGTCAGTTAGAGCCGGTTATGCAACCAGGTGGGCAGCTCCCACACCATGAGAGCTTTGGTGTTTGTAGGATGTAGGGAGCACGGGCTCTATAGCTTGTCTGCTGAGAGAACCTGCTACTATGTGTCTGTCTGCGTGTGGATTCAGGCTCCAGAATCCAGTCCCCTGTGGCCCGGAACTCACACTTCCTAACGTCACTTACGCGTGACGGGAGCACAGACACCCTAGAGGCTGTTCACAAACTGGCACCGGGGATTTCTTTGCTAGAGAACAATCGTGAATCATTTGGCGCCTTCCCTTCCCATATAGTAAAGGTCTTAATCACTCAGACTTCTCGGAGAAGGAAAGCAGGAGGGCGGGTGCCAGCAGGCACTTAAGCCCCTCATTGTGGTTCTTGTCTCACACGCGATGACTGTCACCCTGAGCCCCGCCTTTGGGTCACGGCCACCGCCTGGAGTCCTGGCCGACTGGTTTGACCGTAGCCGCCCGTGCACGTGCTTTGCTGGGCTTTGAGCAGGATGTCTGTCGGGGGGTGGTGCACAGGGCGCTGGGCACCCGCCCGTAGGGTTTGGGGAGAATAAGATTCTCTGTTTATCTCGGAGTTGAGAGTTTCAACTTTTGAACTTGCAGATTTCAGTTACTTTTCAACGGGGACCTTCTTGCCTTTCAGTAAACAGCTGCTCTTAACCCAGTGCGGGCTGGTAGCGCAGTGCTTGGACTTCGGGTTCTGGTTTTTTTTTTTTTAATTTTACCAGATTGAGCTCTTTCGGGGTATATCCAGAGTAATCATATATATATAATCAATATGTAAATGATATAAAGGTAACACACACACACACACACACACACACACACACACACACACATATTACACACAAGTATATATAATTTCTAACAACCAAAAAGGGCTCTGGGAGGTTCAGCCGGTGCCCCCTCATCTTTTCCACGCGCTCAGATGACGTCAGTGGGCTCGAGACGCCCAGAGCTGTAGTCGGTATTTTGAGGCCCAGTGTTTGCAGGAAGGTGGTGTGAAAGAAGCAGACTCCACCGTTCTCCCCTCAAGCTGACGGTCCAGGGACAGGGTGGTGGTCCCTTCGGGAACCCCTCCTGCTGTTTGGACTGACAGTTCAGTTGATGGAGTTTTGTCTGTTGTCTGACATTTGAGCTTTCCACCTGCCTTGTTCCACAGTAAGAGTATTTGCCCATTTAAAAAACTGCATGAAAGGTACCTTGGTGTCCCCTCTCTCTCTGAGTCTCTCGAAGACTCTGGGGTGGCCTTCCTCAAGCTTGTCGCTGTGTTTGGGGCCTCTGGCTTTACTTGAGGCTCTGGCACGCAGACACTGATGTGCCTCTTCCCTTCCAGCTTTGCCATCGTGATCTGGGGTGTGCTCACACAGAAGAAGCCGTTTGCAGGTGAGTGGACACGTCTAGGGGTGATGCGGCTGCCTCTCCCGAGCAGTGGAGGGCGTGCTCTGTGGTCCTTTCTCTGTGTCAGAAGTGCCTGCGAATCACAGTCGGGGCCGCTCTGGGCCGTGGTGCTGGTGGGCCGTCTGGTGGGGAGCAGGGCTGCCTTGTCCTGCCCCGCAGGCCCGCACAGAGACCCATGGCCCACCTCATCGCAGGCTTTCATATATGCCGACAAGGCGCTCTGCCGTGCAGCTCACATACGGGGAAAGGCACGGATCTGATGGGGTCTCTTCAGTGACTCTTGTTAGGTACTAGCTCATTCTTTTGTGTGTGTGATATAATACACGTAACATAAAATTTATCATTTTAACCATTTAAACTGTACATTGTGGCATTAAGTGCATTCACAGTGCTGTACAGTTGTCACCACTGTCTGGTTCTAGAACATTCCATCACCCCAAAAGGAGACCCCGGGCTGCTTAGGCAGTCACTCCCTTCCCCCCACCCCAGCCCCTGTTGGCCACTAATCTACTTTCTATCTCTGTAGGTTTGTCCGTTGTAGTGATTTCCAGATACATATTTTTTTTAATTTTCTAATTTTTGATTGTAAAACACACATCACATAAAAATGACCATCTGAACCATTTTGAAGTGTACAGTTTGGTCACGTGAAGTGTATTCCCACTGTGGGGCAACCAGCCTCCAGAATCGTTGGGTGGATGCTCCCTGGGTCAGCACACCCGGCCCGAGGGCTGTGGGTTTCCTCCCCCTTGCCAGGCACCCACCGTGCTGATTTCCAGCCCCAAGGTTTCAGTACCTTGACTCGGTTTATTGGAAAAGTCAAGTACCTGGGCTACTCACTCTCTTCTGGTCTGACCAAAAAGATCTAAGAATGCAGATCAGAGTCAGCGTGTGGCCCCCAGGTCTTTTGCAGGGTTTTGTCTGCACGTTGTTACCCTGTCTCCCTGCCATCTCCTCCTCAGTGGAGGTCCGTGGTCTGGATTCTTTTCAGCGTGGCCAGGTGGCACTGTCGCTCGGGCCGGCTCATTGCCTGGCCCGCCGGGGGCCTGCGCTTTGGGGTAGAAATTCAGGAGGACGTTTTCGTCACTGCAGGGCAGTTTGGGCCTCTTGGGGCTGGGCGATGTGACTCCGTGACTTATCAGCGTTCTTCCCTTTGGTGGGCATGGGCCCCTTTGGAACCGATCTCATTCGATATTTTTCTCCTTTGAGCTTGGTTTTCCTTTGAGTTCGATGCCCAGAAAGACCTGCTCTGTGATACAAGGCAGTGATTCCGTTTGGTAGATCACAGATAGTTTCTAAACCCTGGAAAACAGGGGACAGTTGTGCCCTGCAAGGTTAAGGATTAAAGAATGCTCTGTGCTTTGAAAAGGAAATACCGTGTCTCCTGGGCGGATGGTAGTGATGTGCCCCAAACTTTCCCACGGTTGTCACTCCTCCCGAAGATAAGAAATCCTGCCTCAGCCCCACGGAGCTGCCCTGACTTGTGCACCTGCCCTTTGCAGATGAGAAAAACATCCTGCACATCATGGTGAAAGTGGTGAAGGGCCACCGCCCCGAGCTGCCGCCTGTCTGCAGACCCAGGCCTCGCGCCTGCGAGAGTCTCCTGTGCCTCATGCAGAGGTGCTGGCACGGGGACCCCCGGGAGCGGCCCAGCTTCCAAGGTGAGTGCCCCCAGAGGGTTCCCGGAGTATTGCTGCTTGAGGGTCGTGCCGCTGTCCCAGGTGTCGGAGTCGACGGCCAGGGCAGGGGAGGCTGTCCGGAGGCGAGCCCGGCGCCTGCAGGCTGTGCCCGCCTGTGGCCCCGGCCTGTGACCGGGGCGGGGAGGCTGGAGCCCCGTGGTCAGCTCCAGCTGTCCACCCCCGGCTGTGGCCCGCTGCCCTCAGGGGCCTGCTCTTGGTGTTGCAGGTTCAGATGCAGCAATGCATCTTTTAGGGACGATGCGACCGCTGGCCTGCGGCTTTCTTTGCATTTCTCATGGCGCCTTGTCCCTGGGGAATGGCTGTGTCCTTTGGTTAGCAGAGTGATCCTGACGCGCTTGAAATTGGTCACGACGTTTAAAACATATGGGGAAACCAGCGTGAACGCGGTGGGAGCCTCTCGCCAGGAGCTGGCAGCCGGGCCGTCGGGGTACGCGCTCCGGCGGGTCTGGCTTCTTGGGGAAACGGGGTCTCGGTGGCTCCTGCTTGGAGTCTGGCCAGACCCTGCATGTGGTTGCCGCTGGGGTCCCATGCGGGGTTGCCATGAGCTTGGCCGGGGGCCGGCAGCCTGGGAGGCCGCAGTGCTGAGCGGTCAAGAGGCTGCACCCTGCAGGTGCTGCCTCTTCTGTCCCGGCCCGAGGTCACACGTTTAAGTAGAGCATTTGTGTGAGTCAGTGTCGAGGCGATATACCCTTTTGTGTTTTGTCCCCCAAAGAAATCACTTCTGTAACCGAGGACCTGTGTGAAAAACCTGATGATGAGGTGAAAGAGACGACTCCAGACCCAGATGTGAGAAACCCACCTGAGGCCGAGGCCGAGGTAATGGGGACCCTCCCGGGGACCTGGTTTCCCCTGACTTGGCTTCGGGGGTTGAGTCTCTCTTTTCTGCAAATGCCCTGCCAGCCTGGACCACTCGCCCCCTGTTCTGAGGCTGGGGCCGTCCCCCTGCCCCTGCCCCTAGCTGCTCGGCCTCGAGCTTGCTGCCTTGGTGAGCTGGCCTACGGAAGCCTGCAGGGGGCAGGTCCGTGGCGCGCTGGCCTCAGAGTGATTTCCTGCCTGACAGTGAGTGACTCGCCCCCGTCGCCTGTCTGTGGTTAGGAAAGGGCAGAGTGGGCCCACGCTTGACATTAAATAGCCGTCAGCTGGATGTTGTTTGAACCAGGGGAGCTGAAGGCCCCTGCTGGGCCAGACTGGGGAGGGGGTCTGGGCCCTGGGGGTCTGGGGGTCTTTTTGCACCTCGAGGCTGGGGATCTGTCCACTTTCTAACTGCCTATAAATGTTTTGTTTTATGAGTGCCACACAGGTTAGGTAAGATGTGATAAATTCTAACTATGCTAACTAAATAAATACCTTTCAGGTAATAAGACTTGTAAAGTGGAGCCTGCTAAACTAACTTTATTGGGTGTTATCTGGTGTTGTCATCCCAGGCTGTGCCGTAAGGCCGGGAGATAAGTAAGCATTTATGGTGTGTCTGCTGTCTGAGCAGGAAGGGGCGTGTGCATGAGGTCAGAGGGCAGAGGGGCAGGGGGGCAGGGAAGGTGACCCGGTCCCCACCACCCCCATAAGGGGAAGAAAGGCCCAGCGCGTGGGTGTGACTCAGTGCACCAGGCCACCAGTTCCCAAGGAGAGTGAGGATTTGGGGACAGGTGGGCGGGAACCCAGAAGAATCACGAGTCACCTGCAGATTCTAACCCCTCAGCACACTCTGCCTTTCTCGCGGCCGGGCAGGAGAGGGCCCTCGGAAGGGCCCGTTAGGATGGGTTGGGGTGGAGTGTCGTGCCGTCCCTGTAGCTCGGCCCCTGCCCCCTACCCTTGTACACATGCGGCCCCCCAGCTAGACTCGCACAGCTCCGGGGAGGGTGGCAGGTTGTTAGGAGCCCAGCCCATCTCCTTCCTCCGTTTCGTATCAGCGCTGACCTGTCCTGGGTGGACACGGCCAGCACACAGGCTTCACCTCCTGCAGCTTATCCACATCTTGTCCAGATGACTCGGGGCCACGTCACTGCGCAGATGGGGCCCAGCATGGTGACGGGCGTTGCGTCCTCGTCGTCGTCTTTTCTTACCCTGTCCTCCCGCCGGGTGGACCCAGCGCAGGGTCTCTGGGCCCCCTAGGACCATGGTAACGGGAGTTAAATTCCCTCCATGGCTCACGGGGGACCCATGTGTTCCCTACCTCCTCCGCCCGCCCCGTCAGGTCACGGACGGAGCCTCATCCCCTCCGTGTGCTGTCTCTGCAGGCGCCCGTGGCCACCCCGCTCAAGCGAGCCTCCGCCCCGACCTTTGACAACGACTACAGCCTCTCCGAGCTGCTGTCTCAGCTAGACTCGGGCATCTCCCAGACCCTCGAGGGCCCGGAAGAGCTCGGCCGCAGCTCCTCCGCATGCAAACTTCCGTCGGCGAGCAGCGGCAAGAGGCTGTCAGGGGTGTCCTCGGTGGATTCTGCCTTCTCCTCCAGAGGGTCGCTGTCCTTGTCCTTCGAGCGGGAGCCTTCAGCGGGCGGTGAGTGGAGGGCCATCCCTGGGAAGTAATGCGCTTAACTGGGGGCCCGGGGGGCCGGGCAGAGAGTGAGCAACTGAACGGGATCAGGCGTCCGGCTTCCCGACCTCACGGTAGCTCTCCTGTGTTTTCTGCAGCCCTTCACTGATTGGGTTTGGGCGTCAGTGCAAATGCAGAGATGCACGTGGGCCGAGCAGGTGTCACTTAGATGTAAGAGGGGTGAGTCACACCCCTGGCTGTGCGGGTGGGTCTCACCCGTGCCAACCCAGCACGCAGGGGCTGAGCTCCGGTTTGCAGGTTGAAGAACTCGAGTTGCATCAGGGAGCCCAGTGGATGTATGGAACCCCTCTCCCTGGAGACCTCGCTCTCTTGTAATGTCAGCCCTGTACCCCCTTTCCCAGGCGGTGTGGGGAAAACACCCCCATTCCTTCTTATTCGTGGGCTCCCATTTACCATAGCCGTGCATGTTGATGGGCAAGCTGTCCTTGGAGGTTGTGACTCCCTGGTCCTGTTTATATACCTTGGGTTTTCTGTCTAGAAGGTGCTTTCCCCTGCCCCTGCCCTGTCCCAGGTGCTGGCCCTCGGGTGTGGGGCTGGTGTTAACTACAGCCCCCTCGTTGCTGCCTGTGAGGATGGCGTACGAGGTTTCCTTTCCGTGAGGAAAATTTGCATGCTCATGCTTAGGGCTACAGTGCAGGGGTGGCCAGAGGGGCGCGGGAAGGGTACAGACCCCAAGAGGAAGGGGAGCTTGTTTTTCCTGGGGAATCGGGGAGTTCCTCCTGGGATGAGGACTTTTCCTAGATGCCGTGGACCTCCTGGAATTTTTAGAGTGGAATATTTGGGATGAAAGAGGGCACTTAGGGTTGAGGAAACTCCTTACAGAGGCGCAGAGGTGGGGAAGGCCTGGCTGGACTGGAGGTTAGCAGCCAGCGATGAGGCTGAAAAGAAAGAAGCACCCGTCTCCCACGGAGAAAGATGTAGAACTTTCTCTCGGGGCCTGATACCCTCAAAGTGACATCTTCATGCTTAGAGAGGACCAATCACTGGCCCACCTCAGAAGCCAGCGTTGAAACACTAAGTCCCCATTGGGCTGATTCCGTTTTCTTAATACACCCCACGCCCCCTCCTCCTACGCAGGGCCCCTTGAAAATGTTTCACGTGAGGGCGTCTCGTCTCATTTAAATCGGAACCCGACAATGTAATAGGATTTTGTTGTTAAATTTAACCTTTACATCGTGAATAACAGTCCTTCTAAAATGGGAGACTCAGTCCTTCAAGGATTATTCTAGAAAGCGTCCTTCATGATATTGCTGAGACAAGAGGCATCATTTGGAGGTTGGGCTGGGAGCAGGCGGTGGGCCCTGGAGGGGTGGCCTGGGCTAGGAGCTGCCAGCTCTCCGGTGGGTTGGGGGCCGCCGCCTGGTCTGTGCTGCCATTTCTGAGCACCAGCTGGGGCCAGAGTTTTACATCCCTTATCTAATCACGACCCTGCTGGATGGGTAGAATGATTTTTACTTCGTACATCGACAGAAGAGCACTTTGGAGACGTTCGTTGCCCTGCCCGAGGTCTCCCCACTCGATCTTAAATTAAACCAGCATGGACAGCACAGCACTTAAGCGATTTCAGATAGAAAGCGGCCTGGAGGCCACGGGGAGTTGGGGGCCACGTAGGGAACACTGGCCGGGCCCGGGGAGGCAGCGCCACGTGAGCCCGGCACCTGCTCTGCCCGCAGATCTCGGCGCCGCCGACGCCCAGAAGAAGAAACTTGTGGATGCCGTCGTGAACGGGGACACCGGCAGGCTGATGAAGATCCTGCAGCCCCAGGACGTCGACCTGGTCCTGGACGGTGGCGCCAGCCTGCTGCACCTGGCCGTGCAGGCTGGGCAGGAAGACTGCGTCAAGTGGCTGCTGCTTAACAACGCCAACCCCAATCTCACCAACAGGAAGGGCTCCACGCCCCTCCACGTGGCCGTGGAGAGGAGGGTGCGGGGCGTCGTGGAGCTCCTGCTGGCCCGGAAGATCAGCGTCAACGCCGCGGACGAGGACCAGTGGACGGCCCTGCACTTCGCGGCCCAGAACGGGGACGAGGGCAGCACGCGGCTGCTGCTGGGGAAGAATGCCTCCGTGCACGAGGCCGACTGCGAGGGCCGGACGCCCATGCACGTGGCCTGCCAGCACGGCCAGGAGAGCATCGTGCGCATCCTGCTGCGCCGCGGCGTGGACGCGGGCCTGCCGGGCAAGGACGCCTGGGTGCCGCTGCACTACGCCGCCTGGCAGGGCCACCTGCCCATCGTCAAGCTGCTGGCCAAGCAGCCGGGGGTGAGCGTGGACGCCCAGACGCTGGACGGGAGGACGCCCCTGCACCTGGCCGCCCAGCGCGGGCACTACCGCGTGGCCCGCGTCCTCATCGACCTGCACTCTGACGTCAACGTCTGCGGCCTGCTGGCGCAGACGCCCCTGCACGTGGCCGCGGAGACGGGGCACACGAGCACCGCCAGGTTGCTCCTGCACCGGGGCGCCCACAGGGAGGCCGTGACGGCTGAGGGCTGCACCGCGCTGCACCTGGCCGCCCGCGGTGGGCACCTGGCGACCGTCAGGCTGCTGGTGGAGGAGCGGGCCGACGTGCTGGCCCGGGGGCCCCGCCGCCAGACGGCGCTGCACCTGGCCGCCGCCGGCGGGCACTCGGAGGTGGTGGCGGAGCTAGTCAGCGCCGACGTGCGTGACCTGTCTGACGAGCAGGGGCTCAGCGCGCTGCACCTGGCCGCCCGGGGCCGGCACGCCGAGACGGTGGAGACGCTGCTCAGACACGGGGCCCACGTCAACCTGCAGAGCCTCAAGTTCCAGGGCGGCCCCGGCCCCTCAGCCACGCTCCTCCGGCGAAGCAAGACCTAGCCTGCCGCCCCAGGAGATGGAGCCCCCGCGGGGTTCCTGTCCCCGCGCCGTGCTCCGCTCGCCCCGTCTGCGGCCTGCGGGATGCCATCGAGAGGCGGGTGGCCACTGACTCGGGATCCGCGCCGGCGTCTACTTGGGCGTCGCCTGCCCACCCTCCCGATGCAGTTGATCAGAGCGTGCGCGACCGCTGCCCACGGGCGCACCCGGTGTCGAAGGGACAGTGGGTCCGAGGCATTTGGTTGCACCCCTCGCTCCTGCTGTCGGTCCCTCGGTGACAGGGCCGTGAGCCCCCCCCACCCCGTCGTGAGCGGAGCCACCTGCGGCTGGGAAGGCGGGTGTGCGGGAAGAGCTGCGTCTTTTCTCTCCATTTGCAGCGGCAGGCAGAGAAGCCTCTTCCAGAAGGCTTTCGTGGAATTCTTGTTCTACGGAAGAATATCTTTAATAGAGGAACAGTGTCAGCTGTCACTCTAGATCTGTTAAAAACTTTCATCTCATTGGATAGTCTGCTTTCTGCGCAACGAGTGTGAACTGGTGGGTTGGTCTTTAAAGCAAAAACAGTCATCTCACCAGCCCTTTCACACCCAGATTTGTCCGTCACTCAGTCCTCGTGGGTGGCCACACACGTGTGCCATGAGTGCTACCTGCCCTAGTTCATTTCTCTTTGCAGAGAATGTTTGAACTTGAGAGTCAAGTGTCTGAAAGTCAAGAAAAATTAACTGACAGCCTCAGTTTCGGACTCAGAACAGTGTTCCCTAGTTAGATGAACCACCTTCCTCACCGTTTCCTTTTCAGCCGTCAGTCTTGGCAGGGTGGCGGTGTGTGCCGAGTGATGCTGTTTTAGGGTCTCCAAGGGGGTTTCTGACCTGCTTTACAAACGGCTACTCTGTGCAGGGGCCTCAGCTTTTGGGGTGTGACACCCCGAGTCGGCTCCAGGAGACGGCCTCACGGTCTTGGATGTAAAAACCCCGTTCTTTTGTTGTCACCCGTGTCCCCCATGCACCCGCCCCCCCCAATACTATTATTAGAGTCAGTTTGCTGCAGGACCCGACCCTGTATGCAAACATGCCCTTTGGACTGGTGTATGAAACAGAGATTGATGTTAACGTACCATGTATGTTAATGTGGATCTGTGGGCAGGATAATTCTTTTCTGTGACAGGAAATATCCGGGCTGCTTAGAACTGGCTATGTTTTAATATGCCTTGTGCTACTGTTGTATGTAGAACACGTGGAAGAAAAAACTTCTGTTTGATGTCAATAAAGCTAAGTTCTCTTCCGACCTCTTTGAAGCCGATGAGACTACATTTTCATACGCGTGAGCTCGAATAATCTGATTTCTGAAAACCAGAGCTTGAGGCAGTCACGTGTGGTGTGGAGATGCCCTTTGGAAGGGCAATCTGTGTGCTCTGAATTTACCCGTGATCTGGGGGGGATGGAGGAGGTGGAAGGGTGGACCCGGGCTTCCTGCCTCCTTAGCCTGGGACCTCCTCCTCCTGCGTGTGTGAACCGTTAGGGAAGAAACTTCCAACACCAGAGTTTTTATTTCTTTGTAAGTTTTTTTTTTTTTTTTTTTTTTTTTTTTTGCCGTGCCGTGTGGCATGCGGGGTCTTAGTTCCCCAACCAGAGATTGAACTTCCTGCGGTGGAAGCACGGAATCCTAACCACTGGACCGCCAGGGAATTCCCCTTAACTTTACATTTTGAAAGAATTTTAAAATATAGAAAAGTTGTAAGAATAGTACATAGAACCCTGGTGTCCCCTTCGTCGATTTTCCATTTGTTTACATTGAACTCTTTTGCCTCGTCATTCCCTTTTCTTTCGGACCTACCCACCCAGCCATCCCCCAACCCCCTCATCCATTCATCTCTCCATCCCCCATGCACTTATCCATCCATCCATCCATCTCCCCATCCACCTGTCCATCCATCCATCTGTCTGAGTAGGTCGCAGAAAATACGCCTCATGGGAGACTCTTTCCAAGATGGCGGAGGAGTAAGACGCAGAGATCACCTTCCTCCCCACAGATACACCAGAAATACATCTACACGTGGAGCAACTCCTACAGAACACCTACTGAACGCTGGCAGGAGACCTCAGACCTCCCAAAAGGCAAGAAACTCCCCACGTACCTGGGTAGGGCAAGAGAAAAAAGAATAAACAGAGACAAAAGGATAAGGACGGTACCTGCACCAGTGGGAGGGAGCCGTGAAGGAGGAAAGCTCTCCACACACTAGGAGCCCCTTCGCGGGCAGAGATTGCGGGAGGCGGAGCGGGGAGCTTCGGAGCCGCGGAGGACAGCACAGCAACAGGGGCGCGCAGGGCAAAGTGGAGAGATTCCCGCACAGAGGGTCGGCACCGACCGTCGCTCACCAGCCCGAGAGGCTCGTGTGCTCACCCGCCGGGGGCGGGCGGGGCTGCGAGCTGAGGCTCGATTTCGGTTTCGGTCGGAGCTCAGGGAGAGGACTGGGGTTGGCGGCTTGAACACAGCCCGAAGGGGTTAGTGCGCCACGGATAGCCGGGAGGGAGTCCGGGGGAAAGTCTGGACCTACCCAAGAGGCAAGAGACCTTTTCTTGCCTCTGTGTTTCCTGGTGCGCGAGGAGAGGGGTTTTAAGAGCGCTGCCTAAAGGAGCTCCAGAGACGGGCGCGAGCTGCGGCTAAAAGCTCGGAAACCAGAGACGGGCGGGAGACGCTAAGGCTGCTGCTGCCGCCACCAAGGGGCCTGTGTGCGAGCACAGGTCACTGCCCCCACCCCTCTTCCGGGGAGCCTGTGCAGCCCGCCACTGCCAGGTTCCCGGGACCCAGGGACAATTTCTCAGGGAGAACACACGGCGGGCCTCAGGCTGCTGCAACGTCACGCCGACTTCTGCCGCC